GAGGCAAAGGGCAGAAGCAAGGACACGTTTTTCAGAGCTTTCACCACAAAACTTAGCATTTAGGAATTTTTCCGTTTTTGTTATCGAGTTGCGTCTCAACTAGGGTTTTCGGTCTTAGACTTCTAGAGTTAGGGATTTCGCTGACGGCTCACGCAGCTAAGGCCACTCTCGTTGTAACCGTTCTTACGCAGATTCGGAATAAGATCCTTCTTACTCGTCATCTCGTTCATTCTTACTTTAATTTTTATTTCATCGTTTTCTTAATCATCGTTGTGCGGTTCCGCAGATAGCCGGGTCCTCTGGAAACTTAGGGTTTACTCAAAGTTTCCTTATTTACGATTCATTGACAGTAGGTGAATTTCGGTTCCCACAATGAATATAACTCAGCATTATTTAAAATTGTTTCAATGTTGAAACTTTAAGGTCAAGAAGTAACTGAGAATGAGTTACTGGACAAAACCTTCTCTACATTCCATTTGAGTAATATATTACTGCAACAGCTGTACAGAGAGAGAGGTTTTGCCACATATTCTGATTTAATCTCCTGTCTATTGTTGGCTGAGGCTAATAATGAATTACTAATGAAGAACAGTGAGATGAGACCTCCAGGAACAGCACCATTACCCGAATCGTCCAAACCGGCCATAGAAGCCAAGAAAGAAAGTAACCTCGTCCAACACAATAACCAATCCGGCAATGGCCGTGGGAAGGGTTATGGACGAGAGGCCGTGGCTCTTATAAGGCGCATGGACGAGGACGAGGCCGTGGGAACTCACCCGGATTTGGCCATGGTCGAGGCCGTGGTCGGGGCCAAAATAGGTCCTTTAAACCACAAAAGAAATCTAATATGTGTCATATATGTTGTATGGGTAATCACTGGGCCAAGAATTGTTGGAGCCCTAAGAATTTATTCGAGCTTTATCTTAAGAGTTTGAAAGAAAACCCAGAAGCCCACATGGTTCAGGACGAGGGATATGATGGTGATGATGAAGAGGACATGGACTACGTCCAGAATAACCAAGAGGAGTCTCAAAAACTCGACCAAGTTGATCACATGGAATATGAGACTGCTGACATGTTAAGATAGAAAATGTTCTATGATTGCTTTGTTTCTTTTGATGTTTTATTTTACCTTTTGATTGATTTTGTTTGAGACTTTATCTTATGAATGGAATTCTTTTGTTTTATTTTAATTCTATGATTCTTTCTTTTGAAGAATGAAAAAGCAAATGGATACATTTGTGGTGGACAGTGAAACCAGCCACACCATTTTAAGAGACAAAAGACATTTTATACACCTTACTCATAAGGTCGGCAATGTATCGACCATACCAGGAATGGCCAGCCATATAGAAGGCCACGGCCAGGCCCATATCTTATTGCCTAATGGCACTCATCTTGAAATATCAGATGCATTGTACTCGCCAAGTCCTAATAGAAGCCTATTGAGGTTCAAAGACATAAGGTTGAATGGTTTCCATGTTGAGACAATGGGTGAAGGAAATAAAGAGTTCCTTCAGATTTATGAAATCACCCAAGGCAATAAGAGAGTCTTAGAGACTATACATGCGTGTGGGACTGGTCTTTAATATGCCACGACCAGCCTTATAGAGGCTAATGTCGTGATGAACAAAGAGTTCACAGAACAATTCACTCTTTGGCATAACCGGTTAGGCCACCACGGTTCAAACATGATGCGAAAACTCATAATAAACTCAAATGGGCACAGTTTGACAACAAAAAGAGTTATCCCAAAAGATCTCACATGTGACACTACATGAAATGTGGTTAGTAATAGCGGACGGAAAAGGCTAAGCCAATGTTTTTGATAGCGCTTCCTAAACCGCTCTGACAGCGCCCGTTATAATAGGTCCAACACTTTTAATAGCGGTTTTCGGTTGTGCTATAGTTAAACGTACAACAATAGCGCATTTTTAACGCAATTCTTAATATCTATAATAACATTTTACAAATGTTATTAAAAATAATTAATTTGATTTTTCCAATAATTAATTAGTTTTTAAATTTTATTAAAAATATCATTCACAATTAAATAATTCAAATTAAATAGAAATGAATTTATAATTAAAAAAAAAATTTATTCATTAATTAAAATCAGAATACAAATAAGTAAAGAACAAATTATACCGAAAACAAATTAAAACATTAAACAAAAACATAATTAACCTAAAGCTAAACTAAGCCTCCTATCGAGTCCTCTGCTACATACATCAGAGTTTCTCTGTCACCTTGTATGCTTGGTACATATGGTACATGTACTTTTCAATCTTCTTTGACTCTCGATATTTCTCAGGACAGTGGATCTTGGTTGGTTTCGTGATGATGAAACCATCCTTCACAAGATTCTGTGTTGGCCTGTAGTTTTTTCAAAAACAAAGCAACATCCTTTTTAGAAATCAGAGATTAATATACATTCTATAAGCAATACAATAATCAACAACAACTCAGTAGGAACTCAGGCAAATAAAAATGATGGTAAGAGACAAAATCAGTGGTTGCCTACCATTACTTGTTGGGACAAGGCGCTGAATCCAAAACAAGATTTTTTTCAGCATCAAAAAGCAAGTTTTCCTGTGGATGTGATTCGAAGTAGAGGTCATATAGCAACACAAATCAGTAAGGAGTTCAAAAGGAAAAAAAAACAATCAACTTGCCAACAGAGACATATTCAAAACGAAATTCAAATCTTAATAAATAAGATTGATAATCAGAAACAAGTTGATAATCAAAAACATAAACAAAAGAAAAGATACAATCAATCTTAACTTTAACAGAAACAGATCAAAACGAAAATCAAACCCACACTTCTCAGATCAATTTCGAATTCAACCAAAGACAGATATAAATCAAAATTGGGAGAATTACTTAAATACACATTCTTAGATACACTAATTCACATTTACCTTATGAAATGAGACATTTTCAAAAATACACTTTTCAAATAAATAAAAAACACAAATTTTTTTTTTTTACTTTTTCGAATTATACTATTTCGAAACCCTAAACCCTAAAAATCAACATTAAACCCTAAAATATCAATTCTAAACCCTAAACTCTAAACCCTAAACCCTAAATTCTAAACCCTAAACCCTAAACCTATATTGTAAACCCTAAAGCTTAAATTCTATACCCTAAACCCTAAATTCTAAACCCTAAACCCTTAAAACCCTAACCCTTACCCTAACCCTAAAATTATAAACCCTAAATTCTATACCCTAAACCCTAAATTTGAAATCTTAAACCCTAAATTCTAAACCCTAAATTTTAAACCCTAAACTCTAAACCCTAAATTCTTAACCTTAAATCCTAAATTCTTAACCCTAAATCCTAAATTCTTAACCCTTAACCCTAAATTTTAAACTATATTTTTTCTACAAAATTAATTAAGGGTACTATGGTCTTTTGACTATCAAAGGTTTAAGGGTAAAGATGATTAATGTAAAGTGAAATAGTGTATCATGAATGTGCTAGTTTTAGCAATTTTCCATCAAAACTTGAGCAATACAAAACAGATTAAACAAATCAGACTTGTGAGAACAGAGAGAAATTTTGATTTTAGTCTCAGACTTAGATTCAATAACCAAAATAGAAAAGAAAAAAAATCAGATTTAACACAATAGAAACAGGTCGATGAAGCTGCAAAGACGAAAAACAGAGAGATATAGACTCATGAGGGTACGTATAATCCAAGCTCAAGATTCAGAAAAGGTTGAATCTTTGCATACCCATTCGATACACCAGCCGAGAACACAAGAGAGGAAAATCTCGTCTTCCGTCTAGTCTTTGCCTTCCTTATCAACCCAATATGATTCACCTTATCAACCCAATATGATTCACAATCAGACAAGAAAGCAACAAAGGTTAGTTAATGAAGAGGCAATAATAAAAAGAGGATACACGAGATAGAAGCCATGAGCGAAAGCCCCAGCGAGGACAAGACTGAAGAGACGATCCCTGAGAACAGGCCGATGTCTCACCTTTTGGCTGGTGTGGCAGAGAGATTTCAGATATATCTCAAGGCCAGCGAGGAAGAAGAAGAGAAGGAGGCCGAGGTTTGCTAGATATTCGAGCACAGCTTACCCAGTCGCCTCTCTCTCTCTCTCTTTTTGACCTCTCTCTCTCGAACGCGTTCTGTTCTGAAAAAAAATTGGAAAAAAAAGAAACAAATCTCAAGCTTTGTTTCCGTACGATCTATCGGTGCAGAGGGTGATCCGCGCCAAACCAATAAAAATCAAGGATAGAGATAGATAAGAGATTGATTTTTGGCCTTTGATATAAAAATCAATCAAGGGCTCATAAAGAAAACAGTAAAAATTATCTTCTTTTTATTTATAATTATTGCAAATTTATTTAAACTTTAAATAATTTGATATCATAATTTAAATTTTTAATCTGTGTTTTGTATTTAAATTTTAAATTTTGTGATTGATTAAAAAATAAAATTTAATATTTTTATGTGATATAGCTCAATATAAGGTATGTGGTTTGGAATTTATGGAATGAAGTTTTATTTAGATTTTATAGTTTGTATAACTACATAATTTAGTATAAAATAAGTGTTATAAATTTAAAATGTTATGATGTAATACTTTTTGTATAGAGTTTTAAATATGATATCGGGTTTGTAGTATAAGTAGGGCTATGAGTATATGTAGGGTTTGTATTATAATGTTTAAACTTGAATATTTCTATCTGATATATAATATGAGTGTTTGGATTAAAATGTTTAAAGTTGAAGGTTTAAGTATAAAATGAAATTCAAGATATAGGGTTTGAGATATGTAGTTAGAGTTTAGGGCATGTTTAGAGTTTAGAACTTAAGGTAATTTTTTCTTTTTTCTAATCACTAATAAATATAATTTGGATGTGATACAGAGATTTGATAAACATGATTTTTATTGTATTATGAAATTTCAAATTTATTGAACAATCATAAAAGAATGTTATTTACAAATCAAATTTTTAAATATAGCATGGTTCCACTTATTGAACAATCATATAGTTTTCCATTAAAAGTTTAAACCCACAAAGTCAATATATGAAAACATGAACTAAAAGCATCAAGCTCTTCTCTTCACCACCATCAAGCTATACTTTAGTGCTTTTATCAGAACAATCAATCTCAGCATGAGCTCCACGGTAGTAACCATCAACAAAAATATTCTTGTTACCTACAGCTGGACTACTATAATCCCCCATGTTTCCATGACTAACACTGTTAGCACTTCTTGATGTATTAGGAGTGGGATTCAGAGACGGCAGAAGGGTTCTCCTCATAGCTTGTTGAGTAGGCAGCTTCTTATCATCCACACCAGAGACATTAGAGCTGACAACATTCTCATCACTCCTTGTAAATGTTGTAGAGTCTCTTGGGAAATAACTCGGGGCACCACTGTGAGAAGTTTGAGTAGTATTATTGTTACCTATAGCTGGACTAGTATCCGCCTTGTTGGCATGACTTAAACTGTTAGCACTTCTTGAAGGAGCAGGAGGCGAACTAAAAGAAGGTGGATAGGGTTCGTTTCTGAGACTGTTGAGCAGGGAGCTTTGTAGAGTCTCTTGACTGAGATGGGGCATTACTAACAGATGCTCGAGTGTGAACCTCAGAGGAACCCTTTTAAGAGAAGCTTCAGCTACCTGCAATTCAAAGGATTTAGATTACTCCATTAAAGCTACCAAATTGATAATGAGCAGTTAAAAGTACCATTAATCTCGATAGCGGAATCCATCAGGAGATCTCCTACGACTTCACCAGAGATGCATATTGCGAATTTCTGAAACCACCTTCAGTGGGCCACATATGCATCCACCAAGAACCTAAGACAGGGAGAGAAACAGTCTTTGTTAACGAGAGAGCGCCTTTTCATTGTTTGTAAGAGAGTGCACGACAAGATCAACACCAAGAGCAAGGGCTTTCTGATTCAGAGGGCTGACTTGGTACTTATTCACAGCACCTTCAAGACCAGCGATATCAGCAGGATCAATCACAGTGACCTGGACATAAAATCATGTAAATCATTCAAATTGAAATTCTATATCATTCAGAAGCAGAGATACTAGAATTGACAATGTAATTAAAAAATTGGGTTTCTTACAGTGATCCCCATCTTGGAAAGGAAAGTCTCAATGAAGATTAACTTGCTTAAGGCTTCACACTTGGGCTGCTCTGGAACAAAGATCAGAAATCAAAAGCAGAAGTTAAGGAGAGTGAGGGGGTTGAATCGTCTTATGGAGGACAGCCGTCTTCCGCCTTGCGCCATCTCTCCTTTGGCTGAGAGACTCAGAGGGTTGAATCGTGAGGTTGATTCCAGTCAAGCTCCAGTTTATAGATCCTGCGACTTTTTGTCTTAGTTTTTCGATTCCCATCGTGAGAGATAGAACTGAATCTGTACGAGAGATACTTGTGAGAGAGAGAGACAATTAATTAGTTACAATTTTTTTTTCAATTATCAAATTTTATCCTATAAAGTAAAATATAATTATTTCACTAAATGATGATTTTTATATCTAATTAATTATATCTAAAATATATTTGAGTTTTAGGGTTGTGTTTTAAGTTTAGGGTATAGGATCTAGGTTTTATGTTTTAGGCTTTTAAAGTTTAGGCTTCTTTGAGGATTGAAACACAAAATGGAATGAGAGGGGAAATGAAAAACAATGATTAGAGGGTGGATGAGAGAGAAAAAAGTTGATACTTGTTATTTCACTAAGTATCTAGTGGAAAAAATGAATTACGTGTTGTTTTAATTTAGAGAAAATTACTAGAATGATACACAAAAGTTGGTATATGACCAGAATAGTATATATTTTCTAAAAATTACTAGAATGTTTTTAGACTCCTAATAAATTACAATAAACACCCTTGTTTAATTTTGTTACTATTGATACAAATTTTAATTATTAAATGCACATCATAATTTTGACAATCCACGTCACTAACTAATTTGTGTCATCAACAGTTACACTGGAAAATCAACAGTCTCATATCTCCGGTGAACAAAAAAAAAAATATTAATGTCACAACTTCTCCGTCACAACTTTCGTTAAACCCTAACCGATTACGAAATCATCTTCGTCACAACTAATACTCTCGTTTCAAACAATGTTTCCGATATCGTAAATCATCTTCGTCGACCTCGTTAAACCCTAACCGTCTCCGATATCATCTTCGTCGACATCCTCTTCTCCGCAAAAGTTTCAACGTAATCGTATCTACGACATCATCTTCTCATCTTCTCTGGTATGTTGTGCCTGAGTTTGATTTACGACGTGTCTGAGTTATAGATTATGTTGTTACTGAGTTATTGTATAGTGTGGCTGAGTTGAGTTTGATTTATGAAGTGACTGAGTTATTGATTATGTTTTGGCTGAGTTATTGATTATTGTGGCTGAGTTATATATTATGTTGTGGCTGAGTTATTGATTATTTATGATTTGGCTGAGTTATTGATTATGTTTTGACTGAGGTATTGATTATGTTTCGGCTGAGTTTTGTTTCTATTACGACTGCCTTATATGGTGGCTGGGTTATTTATTATGTTGTGGCTGAGTTTTGTTTCTATTGCGGCTGATTTATATATATATATGTGTTTTAGGATGAGATGGCTATTTCTGAAGATCAAGCACGGGATTATCCTCCACGACGTTACGCTGAAGGGGCTTTTAATCTAGAAAATAAAGAGATTAATCACAATTTGCAGATGGGAGATTTCCCTAACATCAGAGAAGCAATAGGACAGGATGTGTGGGATCACATGAGGCAGGGTCCTCTTGGAATTATTGTGAAGCTAGCTGAACGCAAAAGCGTGTGGTCTGGTAGGACTGTCCACTATCTACTATGTCGACAGCTTCAAGTATACTTGAAGGAGATTTGGAGTCTAGTTGGTGATGAACCTATCAGGTTTAGCTTACTCGAATTTGGTTAGATCACTAGGTTAAACACAGATCCAGTGCCAACATAAAGTTTTAAACATGACCAATACAAAGCGTTTTGGGAGGAGTTGAATCTGCCGCTTGGGGTGGGACCCAAGTTAGATGAACTGAGGGCAGCATTAGAGGTATGTCTGGCCTGGAGTTTTGAAAAGCGTAAATGGTTAGGGCTGTTACTTTTTCAAGCGATGGGACTTTATGCTTTGCATCATAATTCTAGGATACCGTTTGAAAGTGCAAAAAGAGTATTCGAAGATGAAGCTATGATGACGTATCCATGGAGGAGGACTGCATATGAAGTTCTTGTTGACTCTATTAAGATGTTGAATCCACAAGGAAGGGCATACACCATAAGCGGTCTGAAGGACGTGTTGTTGGTTTGGGCGTATGAATCTGTCATTTGTTTTGGAGAGCGTTTTGGGAGAGTGGTCAATGAGCAAGAACTTCCACTTTTTCGATGAGGTGGAAAGCGTACACGTTCAAGTTTTGATACTGTCATTACCGAGGAGATTAGAAAACATGGCGAGGTAAGGTGTCAACTGATTTATTATTTATTTGTTGGCTGAGTTATAATTAATTATGTACTTATGTGGCTGGAATTTTTGGTATTAGTTATTTGATGGCTGAGTTAGCATGTATAAAGTGTCTGAGTTATTAGTATGTACATAGTGGCTGGGTTTCTTGGTATTAGTTATTTGATGGCTGAGATAATGTTTATATGGTGGCATGGTGGCTGGATTTTTGGTACTTTGTGGCTGAGTTATTAGTACTTTGACAGCTGAGTTATTATGTATTCGGTGGCTGATTTTGTAGGTGCGCGTGAGAAAAATGGTTATGAAGGACTCCGTAGAAGAGATGTTTCCTCAGTGGCCGGATGAAGCAGCTGACCCGCAACTCGTTAACTTGATAACAGACATATATGCAGGTCAGTTTGTTAGAGGTTTTTGGGGAACACAGATGAAACGCAAACAAACAAACGCAAAGGTTTTTGGTGTTTCGTAAAAGGCTGAGCCACCCATTAAGAAGCAGAAGAAAGTGAGCAGCTTCCAAAAGGATGAAGCTGCTGTGGAGGGAAAGGGTGCTTACGAGAAAGAAGGTAAGGATGATACTAGAGAAAATCCGATACTGTTGAAAATAATGTATACTCTGGATAGAATTGTCTCAAAAATAGACAGCCATGAGAACAGCTTCGAAAACTTGGACGCGCGGTTATCCAGAATCGAGTCCAGTTATACGAACATTCCTGATTTAGTCAGAGTTGCAGTGGACGAGTACTTCTCTAAAGTTCCCCAACAATCTTTAACGTTGCCACCACCACCGCCGCCACCGCCACCGCAGAACTTTTTTCCGCAGCAGTCAGTCAATAGTCCACCAGCTAAGGCCTCTGTCCATAGTACACCTGCTAAGGCCTCTGTCCATAGTACACCTGCTAAGAATTTGGGAGACACTGTTGATTTCGTTGGTGTTTCTCCTGCAAAGGACCCAGCCTTAGGACGCAGGCACAAGATAATAAGGTTTAAACAAAAAGGAAATGAGGTTAAAGAGAAGGACAACAAGGCGGCTGAGTTAGGAAAGAAGGATGTGTCTCCTAAGAATAACTTAACGGCTGTAAGTAGGGAAGAAGAGTCTGCGTTAAAGAAGAAGGAGGCGGCTGAAAAAAGGAGAAAAAAAGCGGCTGAGACAAAGCAACGGAAGGCTGACGAAAAGAAAGCGGCTGAGTTGAAGAAGAAAGAAATGGCTGAGTTACAGAATCCGGTCGCAAAAAGGACGCGTCGCGGTTTAATAACAGTAGCTGTACCTCAGCCGAACCAGATTCAAGCCGACAGTGAGCTTGCGGATATTACTGACGAATTTCTCGCAACACGAGACGAAGTGCTTCCGGAGTCTGATGAGGATGAAGAGGATAGGATGAGATCCGAAAGAATAAAAGAATATCGGGAGAAAAATGTTCAGTTATCTGCAACTGGGTCTGCATTGCAACTCTCTGATAATGCTCCTCCAGCACCAATTTTTCCTCAGATTGGAGACAATGTAACGACGTGCATGAGGAATAATTTATTACCTTCACCAGCAATATATGATCCTTTAGCACCGGTTGATTCAGCAAAATGGGATAAACTTATGGAACACCTAGAGAAACATAAAGACGTTCCCACTACCCCAACAGCGCCCCATGAGGGTGAGTTCTACAGAATCATCATCACTGAAAGACCGTGGAAAGACAAACAATATGGATGGCTGTATGATGATGTAAGTATTCCTTACGTCTGAGTTATAAATTTTATGTGACTGAGTTACGTTTTCTTTTAGGCTGAGTTAAAGAGGACTAAGTAGCTTAGTTTATTATTCTTTATGGCTGAGTTTAGTATACTATGTGGCTGAGTTTAATATACTATGTGGCTGAGTTATGTGTTTTGTTACGACTGAGTTATAGATTCTATTATATTGACTTGATTTTGTGTTTTTGCGTAGCATGTTACTTCGTTTCTGCGAATCCTCATCAAAACGTCCATGCGAGATCCCAGCCCATTCTGGTCCAAGCGCATTGCATTTATTGACGTCTGGTTTCTCACTTCTTGGGTTCGCGATTACACGCAGTACAAGCTCAATCCTAAACTGATGAAATTCACCGGTAATGGTTATGAAGATTTAATAAACGGTAGGATGTCCGCAGACTGTTGTACAAACTTGAAGTGGTATGAGGATGTGGATCACCTGTACGGAGTGCTTCCAACAGGAGGCGATCATTGGGTGGCGTTTCACGTGGATCTGCTTAAAGAGAAGATTGACTGCTATGATCCAATCATTGGACACGTCACAGCCGAAAGTGAAAAGAAAATGGTTGATGCATTTAAGCCTCTTACGCAAATGCTACCTTCGATGTTGAATCAAAATATTCCTTCCAAATTTCGAAAACAGAGAAAGAAGCAGTTTTCGTTCCGAAGGAGTAAAGGCAATTACATTCCCCAAAACACCCAAATTGGTGATTGTGGAGTGTATGCATTGAAGTTTGTGGAATGCTTAGCGCTTGGCGTGACTTTTGCTGGGATAAATGATAGGAATATTCAAGGTATACGGGTGAAGATAGCAGCAGAGATCCTGGATGAAGGAGGAACTGACTTCTATTCCCAGTTTGATTAGCCTTTGAACGATTTGTATATTTTTTGGGTAATGGTAT